ACACCCATTGCCAACAAGATCCTTGAACTAATCTAGTTCTGTTTGCAACATAGTCTTTACAACATAGTCTTTATGTTTTATCAGTACAACTTATCATTCATTAATGTAGTTGATGTTAACGAACGAACTTAGCATTCCCTTATATACCATCGACGTCTAATATCATTTCGTCTCTGAACCTGACCATTCGTTTATAGGCAGATATTTATACTGCACCAAATCTTAGGTAAAGTTCACAAGCATAGCATCCAATATATTATTATCTATATCTATATATATTATTATCTATATATATCTATTATCTATATATATTATCTATATTTTTCTGTAAAATTGCATTATAGGTATTTCCTACAGCTCCATTAAACTAGGTTGAGTTTTACACAATTCTTTTACATTACACTATATTTCATACATTCTTCATAGAAGTGATGATGTGGGGGTTTATGATAGTGATATCATATATAACAAATGTGTTTAACTTTTTGTACACGCTGACGATAGTCTTTTCATATACCAAAGATGATATCATTAAAAGTATCAAGCATGAGGTGATTGGTGACTTTATAGCTATTAAAAGTAATCTATAGAAATGCAGTCAAAAGTGTATAGGACTAAATGAAATATATTCAATATTCAGATAGCTTGCTTTTGATGTAAGGTTGGAGTCCAAACCTATTTGGACTCAAAAAATGGCCTGTTGTGATACGTTGAGCTGATGATCTTATTTTTGTAAAAATTCAATTATCTTTATCGCACCACCATACAAACAAGATTGTCAATCCTAAAATGCGACGAAATATTATTATTGCCCATAGATGCTACTACAGATTCTGTAGGTAGATGAAATGTGACGGCGTGCTATCAATATTCAGTACAAACATTTTTCATAAGAAGCAAGGAATATCGATTCCGAAAAATAAAAAACTATAAAAATTTATTATACAATTGATATTATTAATGCGAATTAGTTAAGTAAGTTAAGTCGTTAGATTACAGGCAAGACTTCAAAAAAAAAAAAAACAGAAAAGCACGTGTAAGAAATTCGTGTCTTTAATAAAGAGAAAAAGTTGGAGAAATACTTATCACATCTAATCTACGAGATTGGAGAGAACACATAATAATAGTATACACCTAAAGAGTAGATTTACATTAGACTTTAACCTGACCTGGCCTTGTTGGTTCCATTTAAATAAATAATTTTCTAATTCTTTATTATAATTAATACAAGTGAACAATTTTTTTTTCAACTTTTAAAATATTCTTATACTTTTAATTGTTCTTAATATGAGGTATTGTTTTTCTTAAGAGAGGTCGGAAGCTTTTTACAATACAATAATAAAGTACAAAGCAATCAAATTATCTTTAAAATGAAACTTCATCATCTTCAATTAATTCTGCATGTACTTAATTTCATTCTTAATTGCAATTAATACTTTAAAGTTAAGTTTTCGGAATAATATGAATAGCAAGTACATATACTTTTCGAATTTCTCTAAGTGTAAAATATTTTTTTTTATGGCATGAGTTGTATAGTGAGTATTAAGCTTCACTTAAGGCAAACAATATCTTTTTCTTATTATTATTTTTTTTTTTAATGCATTTCAGTTTTATTGCTATAATTTAATGTTTCAATTATATTAGTTATATCGGTCTTGAGTTATGAGTAACTTAAATTCGGCTGGTATACGGTTTACTTGCCGATTTGTTTGTTTATTTTTTGCTTAATATTTTACATGTTAGCTTGTTTGGTTTTAATAGACCATTCACACGTTTCCACAATGTTGGACTTATTTGCCCTAATAAACTTGACCGTGGTTTACTTTGTTACTTAATATTTTATACTTAAATTGTTTATATTAGAAATTGTGTAATTGGCAAGTCAAAATGAAATATTCAAAGCATTTGCCGCATGTTGGGATTGAATTAAACTTGTTTTAAACATTTTTTTTTCAAATTTTTTAAACAAATAGAAATTCAATTGTTTACTATATAATTATTTCACATAATTTACATACGAATACATATAAAATATACACTATAGCTTCTGAAATGTAAACTAAAAATAAATCAGTTGCTATGACTATAATCGTAATAGTTAGCTTCTTATTTCACACAACACAATATTAAATGATTATAAAAACCTCTTAGCATAATTTACTAATGTTATTAAGTCATAATTAATTAAGAAAATTTCATATTGTAAAGGTATAAATTGCACTTCTAAATTGAATTATCAATAGCAAACTAAACCTCTTCACTTTGCAGACGCAAGCAGTTATTGGTCAACTTCGCTTAAATATGAATTCGACTTTAAAAAAACACCTATTAAATCTGGTTGGTCGTTATATTAGTTGTTGTTATTGTGATGTGATTTCTACTGTATATGCACATATATTAAAACAAGCAAAAATCAAAGTGCCATCTAACAACAATAAAAACTTACAAAAATAAAATTATTATAGTTAGCAGAACTATAAATGCGAAAAAATAGAAAACAAATAAAAATGCACAGACCCTTTTTTAAAACAATTTAATTATACATGGAAAATGATGCACTGCATATAAATTGCTTTACTAAAATAAATGCATATCAATTGCTAAGCAAACCTCCTCAATTCACCCTCGCAATTATAGCATTTTTGTTAATATGTACCAAATTAAATGAATGTGTTAGCTAACAGCACCAAAAACGAAAGTATATAAACGCTATTTAACTGCTTCAAAATTAGGCGAGACAAATATGTCATTAAGAACTGCTAAAGAACTTCTAAAAAAAATATTTGCATAAACACTTTCAAAAATACTTTATTTAATATAATTACAAAAACTATATATCAACGTCAAAATAGATGAAAATGTGAAAAAATAAAGAGAGTACTTAGTTAAACGTTATTGTGTAGATAACTCTAGATATGTTGAAAATTAATATAATCATCACTATAAGGTAGAGTTTTCACTGATGCGATTAATATATTTTACTTTTACTCGAAAGAGCTAAATCTAACGTGCACTCTACATCTGGGAATATATGTTTCCGTCTATCAGGGGGAACTTATGGCCGTCTCACATGCTCTGGATGACCTATTGGATTGTCAGGTGTATCAGAAAAAGATTCTGATAGCGCTGGACAATCAAGCAGTTATCAAGAGCATGCAAATGACATACATAGCATACATAACATGACATACATACATAACAGCTTAGTTCAAGAATGTGTAGCCAAGCTCATAGAATAGGCTCATGAAAATGAGCTAACGGTCATGTGGGTTAAGGGACACATCGGTATTGAGCAAAACGAGAAGGCAGATGAACTTGTAAGGATTAAGCCATAACTTGTGCGGCCCAAAACCCAGAATACCATTGGGTTACAACATGATGACAGCCTATGTCTATAAATGGATAACCTCACTTCACCTCAATAAATGGAGAGAGTTGAACACTTGTAGACAGACCAAACCCATGTTGCCGAAACTATGGGTCAGGGAAGCGATAAAAGTGCTTAGCTATCCGCGGAGCACCCTAAGCTGGCTGACTTTACTAATTACTGGACATGGCACCTTCAAGTATCACCTCAAAAAGATAACTCTTGCTGAGGAAGACAAGGCAACCTCAAGCTAAATGAACTGCTTGCATTAACAGATGTAATTATGCGGATGGAAGCCGCTCCAGTTTTAACTTAATAACGACATCCGAGATTAGAAGAACGAAAAAGGGCCCAAGTAGTTTCGTGAAATACTTCGGCTAATCCTTCACTGCAGTGGGGCCACTTATTGGACGGTGCGCTGTCTCAACGTCCCACCATAAGTAATATGTTAATTCTTTTATAGATAAATATATATATATAGATAAATATATATATATAGATAAATATATATATATAGATAAATATATATATATAGATAAATATATATATATAGATAGATATATATATAAATATATATATAGATAAATATATATATATAGATAAATATATATATATAGATAAATATATAGATAAATATGGCACAATTCTAACAAAAATCATTAAATATGTTGTCATCATAAATTGAACTTAATTACTTATAACATTAAAACCTTATATGTAAAAACCTAAAACATTATATATATGTTTCACTGAAATACAATTTTAAAAAATCAATTACAATGAAAACTACATCACTCATTTATACAGTGTATGGTCAACTTAGCTAAAATATATTGTAGATATAAAAAAAAACAAGATTCAATGCGACAGATAAAAAAAAATAAAAAATGAAGGAAAACAATATATGAAATAAATAATTGTCAAACTGCCAGCTAACGGCACTAAAAAAGTAAAAGAAATAAAATAACGAAACCTTAGCAGATTAACTTTTTTGACGTTTCTGGAGATGTTTTTATATTGTTTTTAAATCGCAAGCTATTTTATTATGTAAACTATTATTTTATGATATATTTATATTAGTCTTTCTTACTTCTATATACTGAATGAAAAATAAGCTATGAAATGAAAAATATACAATGTCATATGGGCATAAAGAACTTGCATTAAAAACAATTAAAATGTTTTAACAAAAAATTTCCTCAGAAGATCATTATATAAACATTTTTAATGTTAGAAGATATATTTTTGTAGGCCCAAATACTAAAATTGAAATCAATTATATATCAAAATTAAATACTAACAGAAATGTATTAGTTTGTTAAAATTTTGTGGGGTTTTTTTAGTCATTAAACGCTTATCAAAGATTTATAGCCGGTTCTTTTTTTAATGACTTTTTCGTGGCTGACATTGTATTACTTTTTAAATAAATGACATTATTAATTTGTATAGATATAACATTAAAATAATGTTTTACTTTGTTACACTTTATAATATTATTATCTAAATATTAATTTTGTTGATTGTTACAAAAATTATGCTAAGCTCGAACTGTTTTTTGATGAAACTTAAATCATTTCTATGCAACATCTTAGCTTAAAGACAATAAAATCAAAAAATATATCTTTAAACTTACCTCTAAATCTGGACCAGGATATGAAATACGTTTGATTTTTTCTATTTCTTCTTTATACTTCCTGCAAAAGATATAAAAAATTTTGATTATTCAGAAATGTTTTAATACAAAAATTTAAATCTTTGAAAAATTGATGCATATTTTCACATATAAACTCCATAATAGTCACTTAAAAATAATTTATTTATTTTTAGATAACATAAATTTAAGATATAAAACTAAAATTAGTACAATTCATTTATTTTAGTTACATATTTCGTAATATATGACATTATTAAATATAAAAAAGTATAATCATAATAATATAGACAATATAAACAATATATAATAAACAATTATTACAGATTTATTTAAATTGTATTATAATTCCACTGAAAACAACAGGGTTTTTGTACTCATTGATCCTAGAGCTTTAACAAAGGATAAATGACAGTATTCTATATTACTACACAATCTAATAATTGTCTTATAAAAATAAAATTTCATTATAAACTAAATCTGCTAAAAGGTAGAATAAAATTTGAATTTCTACATAACGAAATTACACTCTCAGCTAACAAAAGATCGTGTCTTTAATTCAAAATTTTAAAATGTTCATGATTCCAAGCCTCTTGTACTTGTTCATAAATTTATATAATTTATATATTTATATAACTAATAAGTAAAATTCGCTGATGATGAGTATTTGACAATATTCGAAACAGCTGTATAGTCAGGCACAAAATTCAATTAATTAAATACAAACATTTTGTTGCTGCAATTCATTGCTGTTTAAATCAATTGTTTATAGTTCGTGATAATGTAATCTAATTATAAGAAGTGTTTTTTTTGTAATAAATTCTTTTTTTTGCAAAAATAATGTTATCTGTTTTATTTAACAAATATTTAATAGCAAAAAATAAAAAGATTAAAACTGCCGAAGATGTCTAATATTGAAGTTTATGAAGCAATTATGAATTATATGTTTATCACGAAAACTTTAACTACCTTGACCTTAATTAGTCAAAAAACTAAATAATATAATAATATATTTTATATGATAATACATATTTCATACCTATTTTGTTCATCGGCTCTTCTTCGTTTTTCAACTTCTCGATCCAATTTCTTTCGCCACAAATCATCATTCTCAGCAATAATATCTAAACAATGCTGCAATGTTGTTAAAACACCAGCGGTAGTAGCACGAAATGTAATAGATTCACCCTAAAACAATAAGAATTGAAATATTTGAAATTAATTGTTATATATAATAAAATTATAGTAAAAATACTTTACCTTAAAATCGATTGGATTTAAGCCATCCCCTAAGTCCAATGGTTTGCCTGTATCTTTATTAATGTCTACACACGCATCGAAATATCTATAAATAACATAAAATGTTTATTGAACAATTATACAAAAAAACAACTGATTTCACTAAATACTTAATTGAGTTATTTTATAAGACCTTTATCACAATAAACTTTAGATAACATAAAAAATAACCGTTTCACCTTGTCTATATTAATTCCGTGTATTAACTTCTAATAACTTACTTTTTGAAAATATATTGATTTTAGTCTTCAGTAATTTTAAAAAACATTTAGCAATAAATTATAGACACAAAATGTAAATTTTGCTTATACATTTTTGGACATTTGCCTCAAATTATCAAACACCTATACTACACGCTCTGGTCCAATGACAACCCTTTCAAATTTTGTTAAGTAAACTATTTCTAATTCTGCTTATTCTTCAAAGTACAAATCTTTTAAAATGATAACTCTTTGTCTCCAGTAAGATAAGCCAGAGAGTAAGTTAATAAATACTTAATCATTTCTTCTATGAACTTAATTTCTACAGAAGTCTCTACTTAGAGCACCCAATCTAATCGCATAAATATCTTTCAAATAGTTATCTGTGACAGAGTCTACATCGCGGAGCCACTTATCAAGTTCTATAAACATGTGCCGTTCGCCACATTCCAATGGGACTACACAAACAGATCCCTGTGGGTTACAAAAACACCTCCTTGTTGTACTAAAGAGTTTTTCTTCTTTTGTGGCACATTTTTGGTATGTAATAGAATTGTTCCATCCACCAATCATTACCAGACCGCATTTATATCTATCATTTATAATATTAGAAACATGCAGATCGACACTACTATGTTAAAGTGTAGAGAGCGTTGTTTATTAGTGTTATATATTCGGCTAGATAAGGCATTTAAAGTAATTTACGGGGATTCCCATCCCTGATATTATTGCTCATTCGAAAGAATTTATCATATATTTATTAATGTTATCATTTAAATGCAGATTTAATAAACGGAATTGTATTTAAATAGATAATAATGAAATTAAATCAAAGTTTTAATTTTTTTTAACAGAAATTTATAAGAAAAATGAGTTAAATTATAACTTAACAAATAGAAAGGTTAACTTTCATTAGAAAGTGTGAGAAAAATAAACCATTTATAAATGTTTTGTTGTAAAATACTAATAATTAATTGTTTAAGACTATATATTCCATACCTTTGCAATGTTTCAATTTGTCCAAACAAAATATCTTTGAATGTTTCAATTTCTCCAACTTTCTCTTTCAGATTTCGAGATGTTTTCTTAAGGCTACTACCACTGGCCACTGAAACAGTGTTTGACTGTAGTGACATTGTGCTGCCATGTCGACGTAAAGATGTAGTATCAGTACTGCCCGTTTCCTCCTTGTACATCTGCAGAACTTCCACCCAATGCATACGATCTTCAGACGTCTCCGCTCGCAAACACCAATTATTATAGTTATTAACCACGATATCAAAGCGTAATTCATCAGATTCATGTGACTATAAATAGACAAGGCATTTAAATACAAACAAAAATAACAAATAATAACAAATTAAAGCAAATGTAAACAAAACTATTCCATGAATCATACATAATACATTTTTTTTATTACAATTTGTCAAGTAAACTAAGCGCCACTTATATTATCAACATTTATATACAAATTACTAAAATGTACAAACTGATAAGTTACGAGGATGACGCATTCTGTCAACTTAAATTGGGGGTGCCCTTACACAAACAAATAACAAATAAAAAATATTTCAGCATTAAATGTGTAGCAACACCCCTCACGCCCGCCTGTAAACACTATAATGTAATTTATTTCATGCACATAAAATTAAACATTAATTTTATTGATACTAATACATTGACAGTGGTATTGGTACGATAACCACAAGTTGATTTAGCCCTACTACAGCACACATGCAATGTTGATAATAGCAATTAGGTCATAAGGTCAACAACTAAAGTTCAGCACCTAATTGAGGCTTTATTTTTCAACTAAAAATAAAAATTGATGAAATACGACAGTAAAAATAGAAAACGACAGCAACAGCAGAAATAATGTTTAATATAAGATTAATGTATTAACCGCCCGTATCTAATAACTTTCTATATATGCATATGTAATTAAATTTACTTAATATGTGTAAACACTCACTTTGATAGTCGCTTTGCTAAGACTTATAGCACCTCGACAGCCGAAATCCGACTCCGATTCTGATTTGTAATAGGATAAGGTCCCATTCTTTGAAATAAAATGTCATTGAAAATATTCTATTATTGTAATTTTAAAGAAAAATACTTACTTTTAATACAATATAGCGTGGCTGCCACCCATAAATATAATTTGTCCATTTGCTGAGATAACCGCGTAACTCTACACTATTGTTGTCGAAGTACTCTGGTTCCGAATCGTCACTACTCACTGAAGTTATTTCTGATTTCGATCTTATGTGATGTGCGGGTGGAGTTCCTACGAGTATTTTGTCATCCATTTCAGTATTCAAGAATTTGTTAAATTTCTTTAATTTTAGTAAACAGTTATAAAGCCGTTAGCCACGTAATTAGGCAAGCATGAGGCGTTTTATTTATCTTCACTTTAATTTGTTGTTGTTTATAGCCGCTGGGATCATCTGATTTTTTAATTTTTTTTCTCTTTGTTATTGTTCTAGTTTCCTTAAGCATTTGCAAAAAAAAAGTTCAATTTCATTTGATTTTCTCACATAATAAATTTTGTATTAATTATTCCAACTCTGCTGGTCTTTAACCTAACCAATTGGCTGTTAATTAATATTTGTCAACTCAACTCAACGTTCTACTGCATTTTATTAAAATAAATCTACTGAATTTCTGCACAAGACTTTGACAACAAAAGTTCTTGTCTCATTTTTTGTTTTTTCATTGAAATGTCAAAATGGCTTTTATAACTTTCAGCTTTTTCATATGGAACATTCACGGTGGAGTCAGTTTAAAATATATTTTGGTTTATATCGTAAATACGAAAGTAACATGGAAAACTATGAAAGCATCACACCCATAACCACATATAACTAATTTTTACGAACTTTTAATTTTGTTTTTGTATGGTATATATGTTTTTATATTTTATAATATATTTACTAAAAGCGGCCACGCTATACATAAACCTGCTGATACGCTATGTATCAAAGTGTACAATCTGTGCTGTCGATATATACTAATACGGCGTTTACATTGTGAGATTAAAAGTAGATTAAAACAATAATAGAGATTAAATTACTAATCTCTTTGTTTATTCTCAGATTTCCCATACAAAAGTTAATCTTCTTTTGGTCGAGATTAATTTTTTATTTCCTTAGATATGGTAATTATTTTTCTGTGCAACTCTGCAAATTTCTTAATATCGTCAAAATCTATTTGAAACAATCATTAAAAATTTGTAAATGCCGAATGAGTAAAATTTTTATTAAATTTGTTTAATAATGGTTTTATACACAATTATAACCAAAATTTGTTAAATTATTGTATAAAACTATTTATTAAATTTATATTATAATTTTTTTGTACAAAGTTGTCATTAAATTCTCTATTTACAGAAATTTATCAAGCACAGGAAACAAAACATGACAAGATAAATACCAAATAAATCTCCAATGTATAACTTAATCTTGTACTCTTAATCTCACAATGTAAACGCAGTATAAGGTAGGATTTACTTTAACTCATATGAAGTTATATGGATTAGCATTTGCATGATAAAACAAAGAACAAAAGAAAATAACAATTACCAAAAGTTGAGAGTTAAATTATTTTACTAAAAAACGATTAAAAAGTACAGAATTAAGTATTTTCGATTATTAAGTGTTCTCATTTTTCATAAATTTCATATTGTTGGTAACAAATTTACTCAACAGATAAAGCACTACGAATTGCTTATAGCGAAGTATCTTAACCATATCATTAAGTTAGTAATACTTTCTTCGATCATTATAACGTCAATAGCAAACTTATCTTTTAGATGTAAAATAAATTTTAACCATGTGCGTACTTGTTATACCACAAGATTAAACTAAAGTAGGTTAATGTGTACCTACTCTCTGTTCTTAAATATATATTTATTCGAAAACCTCCGATGTATGCGAAGTATTCTTACAAATATATTTACAAATTAATATAATATAATTTATTAATACAATAATTTTAATATAATCAACATAAGCGATATCATACCATTCTTACCTAAAAATTAGCAACTAAACTTAAATATTTAAATTAAATATTTTGAATTAGGTTTAATTAACTAGTACCCGAAAATTGCAGATTCAAATCTCTCTATATATCAGTGGCATAATCAGTGTGGGCTGAATCAGGTGGTAATCCTACACTGTGGTGGTAGATCTTCTTTTGATAATAAACTGCAAAAGCATTGGTTAGCATAATCCTTGCTACAACGCTGCCAAACAATAATTTTTATTTTTGTACAAATCAATTATAATTCTCATAAGGTTTAATTTTTCTGTTTAATATTAAATCAATCCAAAATTGGATTCGCATATGTAGATTGTTGTAATATACGATTTTCATAAAATACTAATATAAAATATATGTGATAAAATATTTATATATGTATTATATTAAAATGTACTAAATGATATAATATTTAGTATAAATTTTCTGAGATGTGAATTACAAATATATTCTTGATGACTTTTTACTTACTCGTCTGTTCCAAGAGTTACTCGTAGTAAAACTCAAGTGAAACCACGGTTGCCACTTGAAAATTTTTTCCTGTACCAAAATTGGTTTAAAAAGGTACTATTTCTGTAAAAAAAAGGTCCAAAATTTTTCTATTGTCTTTTTATAAGAAAAAACAATTTATATAAAATGTACAAAAAGTATAAAACAATACAAGTTACATTTATAAAAAAAATTAATTGAAAATATCCACAATAAAGTTGAGTCGCCGTAAATGTACCATTTTTTGAACATGAGTACCAGAGTACCAAACGGAAAAAAAGTACCAATTTTGGTACTAAAGTACCATAAGTGGCAACCGTGAGTGAAACACAAGTAAAGTACAAATTGTGAGCGTAACACAAATAAAGTGCAAAATTTCGCTCTTTACACCGATTTTCATGGAGCAGCTTTATGTAAAGTCTGGTGAGAACACCAGTGCCGCGCAAATAGACAATTCAAAAATTTAATTTAAACCAAAACAGCTGATTCAGACATCACACAAATTTTACTTGAAATAAAATGTACGAGTAAAGTCTGTGTAGAATATTCAAATTTCGACAGAGATGTCACGCTCTCTCAGATGCTCTCATTAAAGCGAAAATTTGCTGGTGAAACGCATATAGTGTTACTCAAAGTTACAACGAGTAGCTCGTGAAGCAAACTTGATTTTTGTGGTGAGTATTTATTAAGTTTTAATTCACCATAAATATTTTCAGTGATAACTGAAATATTGTTTCATCAGAAATATATTAACTACATCAATAAAATATTTAATTAATTTTTAAATGATTTTCTTTAGTATTCATAATTTTAATTATATTAGACAATATTTTATTGTTATCAAACTTGACAAAAATTGTTTTGTTGTTATTATTTACATGATTATATTAAGCACTAAGTTAATAACAATAAATAAATTAAATAAATAAATAACTAAATTTACAACAAATATAAATATACATGTAAATATACAGATATATATGTATATATATATATATAGGTATAAGAATATGTATATATAATATAATATATGACAAACTAACAAATGACTCAAGTAACACTCATTGTTAAATATTTACAATTTTACATATCAACAAAAACAATATTCATTATATATTAAAATAATATTTTGTTTCTTTTCTTGTTTCAAATTTTTCCATAAGGTCATCAATATTCCATTAGTTCATTTATCCAATTAGTGTGTATTCATTTTACATTGATATCAGATTGTCTGTTAATATATCATTGAGATTCTCTTTGATTTCATTCGTTTGTAAATCTTCATTTCTGAGTTCTTCTGGTAATTTTTGGCTAATAATTTCTTCTACTTCCTGCTCATGATATTCACCAGTAGGTTCACTAAAATAAATAAAAAGTAATTTGTAATGGAAAATAATAAAATATTTTTTTCATTATGTATAAATCCAAAAAATCCCTACCTGTATTTATGCTTTTCTAAAGCCTTAAAAATACTCTTTGGACATTCTTTATAATAAGGAAAGCATTCCCCAGGCCCTTCTCGGCCTTCCCCAATCTCTTGTGCTCGTACATATTCTGGCAACAAACTCGAGTAAGGTGATTTTGTAACACTGAAAGGGTAAGTATTTTAAAGACAATATAATTAAACAAGATTTGTATAGACTTACGTTAGAAATAGTTTAACAATTTCACCAAAAACTCCAAAGTTATCAAGATTTCGGGAATGAACTTCGCAAATTGTACGTAAAAGACAAGCTTTTCCATTCATACCAAATGTGGATAAAAAATCTTCCACGACATTGTACAGCATGACCCTAATGGGAGAAGAAATAATTTAATATATAATATTGATACGAAGATTAACATCATATAACATACCTCTCGCCTCCATGAAATACGTGCTTAAAACGTTCAGGTAATTTTGGTACTTTGTCCTCTTCCGCTTCTTCCTCCTTAATATTGAAATAGGAGTTTTGTTTAAATTTGGGCTTCATTTCGTCGCTTAAATCACGCTTCTTTTTATAATGTAAATAACGAGACACATATTCACCTAGCATATGTCCAGCCGCATGTCCGAATGAACGACTGAATAGGGGCGGTAAATCGCCCAATGGGTTTTGATTGTCTGTTAGTCCAAGTTTGTCAAAATCAACTGAAAGGAAATAATTTAAAAGTAGTTTATGAAAGTTATATTTAATGAGGTAGATATATTCGTATATTTGTGTACTTACTTGTTAATGGAAAACTGATTGACACATTTGAAAAGAAGCCTTCGGGTGGATGTCGAACTAGTGGTAGCGCTATTGTAGGCGTAATGGTAAGTGTTGTGCCTGGTGGAAGTGCTAAACGTCCGTCATCGGTTATCCACACCAACCGTTTTCTTCGCGAATGCGGCTGTTTTGAATCATTATCTATAAACTCCTCGTGCTCAATCTCATCCAAGAGACTATTTGACTGTTGATTCGTTACTTCTGTCTGAGTTTTTGGTAAATTTCGTGGAATTATTGATTGATCTGATTCCAACGTTTGAATGAAGGTAATTTGTTTGGCAACTACAATACATACTAAAACTAATTTTATAATATTTCTTGTGCAGCACCAAGTCGCAGCCATGTTGATTAGTACAGAGTTCAATCTGGAAAAAACGGAACATGTAAAAATTAATCATAATTAAAGTTTTCAACTTCAGCGCTAATTGCAATATAAATATTTTATTAATATTTCATTTCTATTCATTTGGCTGACTTTTTTATATGAGATTGCATTATAATTGTGTTGTATGAAGTAATAAATCTTATAATTAATGTGGAGCAATAAAACCATTTTTTTTGGTGTCCATCTATAAATTCATTTCTTACACGGGGTATATCCATTGCTATAATCCATAGCAATGGAGTATAAGTACGGAAACAACGGTTATTTGAATATTTATATACGCAAGACATTTAAGTTTAAGTCAAAGTTTCGCCATAACACGTCTTTAGTTGAAGTGGACGCTTTCGCACAGAATTACCATGGCATGCGCCAACTACACTAAATGTGCGTTCCGTTGTAGAGAAGCTTGGAATGGATGAATGTACAAATCTTGCATTGGCCAAAGTGCTGCAGAACTGCAGGAAGCAGACAGGCAGCGATGATTATGAAAAATTGTTTAAAATACCAGAAAAGAATGTAATTTACTTTACATATTACTTCACTTCTTGGTTACATTTTAAAGTAATTGCAGAACGAAAAGAACAGCAAGTAATTCTAAACCAGTTGAATTTATCATAGCCGGCTGAATCTATTTTGAATTCATTTTAAATAGTAAAGAACTAAACTTTTACTTTATTCTCATGATTAGAATTTTAGCTTATTGGTTTCACAAAATGATATACTCAATAACCTCCTTACTATCTGAAATAGCACATAAATTGCAATGTTCACAGGTAATGCAACAATTGTAGCAACTCAGTGCCATAGTTAGGCAGGATTAACGTATAGATCCCACTTGACACCAACAGATAATGCGCTACAAAAACACTCAAGAAAAATATTTTCTAGAATAAACTCTGCTATGACAGAATTCTAGCCACGCCACTATGTTAACTGATGAACCTGCACCCGAAACATAATTGCAGATAAGTTTAATGGATGAGTGGTTATTAGAGTGGAAGATAATGATTAACTTGCAAATATTTGTGGAAGTTATATTTATACCACACCGTTTAGAAGTTAATTTCAACAATTTCATAAAGTAAGTCTATAAAATATTTAGATATACAATGAAACTTAAGCTTACTTGGAAAAGTAATGCCTGTAATTTAAAGGCCTAGCAGTTATGACTTACTTCTAAAATAGGAAAAATATACTGGTTACTTATATCGATTTTTCAATTGAGTTTCATTATGTTAGGGGCCTCCCCAACATATACTACATTTTGTAAAGCAAAAAACTTCTGAATCCAGTAAAAAAATAGGATAGGTTTAGTTTATTATTACGACAATCAGTCAAGTTAAAAATCTCATTTACATGTTAAGCGAAACTATTGTTTCTAATAAATTATAATGGACCTTTAATATATATAGAAAAAATAAATGATATCTCCTAATATGCTAGTTCTAATGATATCTCCTAATATGCTAGTTATAAACGATAGCCAAGTTGCAAGTCATACGTTCTCGTATATGAGACAGTCATATTACTGTCTCGCTGTCGTTTCGATTATAATTATGTGGAGTGACATATTAGGTAATAAATATCTAAATTCCATCATTATGATACCATTAAATCATCCTTTGATTAATTATATACGTGCGTAAATAAGAAGAACTACCATCAATGCTACCAAGTGTGCTAATGATTTGAACTAAATAATATAGCCAACTTTATTTAGAAGGGCCACTTAACAACAACAAGTTATATACTAAGAAATATCTATAACTGGTTTTTTAATATATGTATATATATATTGCTGTTGCGTTACTGTTATTCTTTCTGATCCACTAAAATTCACTATAATAGTTACAAGCTTATTATTGTTATTCTTTATGATCCACTATAATCCACTATAACAGTTACAAGCAAAGGATATCAGTACAATCTAACTTACCTAAATTAACAATAAAATAATTAATATTTTGTGGGATACCTAAAAAAGTAAGATACTATGTATTAACTCTGATAAAATACAACTAAATAAGCAAGAAATCTTTATAATAAAATAAATTATGAATAGTATAGTCTAGCGATTATTTGAGAGAAGCTTTATTTATAGAAAAACTTTAGAGGAGAAGTTTTACACTGATGGAATAATGAAGCTATCAAACAAGAGTTACTAGAGGTGATAAATAATAATAGCCAATATTTATTTGACTAAAATTTATATTAAATAAAGAACATTTTTGTTCAAAAATGTACTAAAAAACGCGGACATTTTTTATATCACCCAAAGCTCTACATTTTAAAATCCATTAAACCCAAACGAAGTTCTAACAGACTACTAAAGCCATATTTTTACGTAAACTTGATTAATTTGTATCGCATTTTATTATATATATATTTTATCAACAAGATTAAAATGTGATTGATTAAATGATTTGAATAAAGTTACTGTTATGAGTTCCAGAAGCTTGTCTTTTTTTACCATAACCAGCAGCCATTAAACCAAAGCTTTAACTAGCAAACCATTTCTACTTTTATTTACATAAATCTGGGATTGAATAAAATATATCCTAATTATAGATTACAAATTTATCCAATAAATTAGAGAGTAAAATTTATCAGTCCACTATATGTTAGTGCAATAAAGCAAACCCATTATTTATTGATGATAAGAATTAAAGTTCGTAGGAGGAAATCAATAGTGCAATGCTACAAATATATTTTGGTGAATGATGTATGAACCTATAAACTGACCGAATTATTTCTACTTTCGTAGGCTTTCAGTTATTTTAGGATAGCGAAATTAGAGTAAAAATGTTCGTCAACAATTAAAAATTTTTGCAATTTCACTCCATGCATTTTCCGGTTAGAACTGGACAAATCCTGAATACGATCTCTATTAATTGATGAACTTACATTAGTGCTACGTCCAAAACGAGACTTGCTTCATTCTGATCCAAATTTCGGCCCAACTTGTTACAATTTTTTTTACATTGATTACACTTACATTTCATACTTTTATTTTTAATTTCTAAGTTTTTATTTTTTATGTCTCAAATGCACTTTTACCAATATCACAAAACATGTCCTAATTTTTCTAGAAATATCTATGCTTTTGTTATTATGCAACTAAACCGAGGCCATTGAAACTGGTTGGACGATTGGCACGCGTGAAACGCATTTAAGTCATCGATTAATTTTGTGTCGCCTCTCAAAAGCGAGGCGCACGCGTTTTCCTTCTCTTCGGCATAGAAACTTTTGATATGCAAATCGATTTATGGATGCTTAAAAATATCTGCAGGCACCGAGAGAACTAGTAAAAATTTACTACTTCAGTTTCAGTGACACTCGAGTATTAATTTCAGAAATTAATATAAGCAAGTGTTTATTGGAAAATTTGTTGTTGTTGTTGTACGCAAATAGAAACTTGTTAACAAGCGCCTGACACCATCAATTATGCTTCCTTATATGTACTTAGAAAGCCTAGTGAATTTTAAATAGATTTCGGAAGAAAAGAAAATCGTTTTGACAGCTTGTTTAACATATGTAGTTACACTTCTTCAGAGAGATTAAAAAACTTATGATTTAATGGATCTACATGCCATCTAAATTCTTTAAACTCTTCTTCACATTGTAAGACAAAAACATTTTTCTTCCAACTTAATATTGATATATAGAAAAATATTATTTTTAATATATTCGCAATCAACTAATTATCATGATAATGATTTTTGAAGAAACAGCATATATTCCACAGCAGATATTTTATAGAGCGATAGGGTTTCCAGATATAATCAAAATTTATACCAAACAAACGGATTATGCATAGATCTGAATTATTTTTAAATGAAGTGGTGAATTTTTAGCATTTTTAAAATTTAGATTTAAAAAGAGTTTCTGATAATCTTGAAGATTATTTGAGCTGCCATTGTGCTCAAAATACCATTGTATTTTGAAGAAGAACGTCAATATGTCGAAAATCAAGTAAAAAATATTAAACAAAATTGTTTAAAAAATACCACTGAGTAACCTAGACCTTATACACCCTAAAGCATGGTTTTAAAATGAAACACTTAAGTCAGCAGACAGTCTGATACATCCAGAAAAAGAAAGCTTCGAAAACATAGACAACGAAGTACTTATAATTTATAAAAATATTTATGGCCCTCTACCTCATACATAAACTTTTTCTGAAAATAGTCAGTATGTATGTATGTAATTGTGTTCTGTTAGGTAAAGTATAGAACCTTTTTTATCAATTTAATTCACACTCTCTTATGGAAATATGTAACAATGTTATTTCATCAATAATTTTCGTCTTTTAATCCAGACTGTGGCATATCCAGTCACATTTTCGATTAAGTATTTCTTCTGTATATCTTATTTGTCGCATACAAACCCACAGTTGAATATTGGGTATTTCCTGAGGGCACCAGGAAATATTTAAAGTAAATATGCATTTTTGAATGTTTGAAATTTTAAAGTAGAATTTTAAATTTAGAAGATTTATAAACAACCCAGCTAGACATAGTAGCTGGACATAGGCAACCGCCGACCAGTCACTACAGCAAAAATATAATGCCGAATTGTTTATAAAAAAGTTTATGATGAGGGATATACGTGGATGAAGTCACGAGAACAATGCAAATTCTAAATGCGGCTGAGAACGATAAAGAACGATAAGTAGGCATACAGTCTTTGTGTAATCTTGAACTGAAACAAAATGGATATATCTGTAGTTCCATAAGAATAGAAATTCTTGTAGTCTGATTATGATTATAACATCTTTCTTCTACCCAGCTTTATTTGTTATTTTCTTCCGAAATATATTATTGATTCCGCACATTCAAGTTTTTCGGATTCTAAACAAATAGAAGCAGAAAATGTAATCCTATACCCGTTTTTCATAATCTCATAAGGCTATATCAAAGGATGAAGCAACAATATTAAAATTGACACACGCTATCAAT